GGGCCACCCCGAAGGGTAAATCAAATATCCTGGTATCCAAGGGTTGAAAAATGAAGAATCTTCATAATTAGATGCGCAAAGCACTAAAATGTGAAATATGCTCTTCAGAGTATATGAAAAAGAGGATCTGGTATATTTAGCATCGGTTGCTCAATGAATCATTCAGTTACTGCCAATTGAAACATTAAAGCTTAAGTCCATACCTTCAGTTTGCTTATAGCACGCAAGCAGTCATCTTCAGATATTGTCTCGCGCACAGCTTTCCGTCTCTGACCAAGCAGTTTACAAAGATCATCCAAGCTTATCAAACCTCCATTGTGGGGTCTAGTCGCTAGGCAAACCTCAATAATCTGTACCCCTGCCTAGACAGGTGGCTTCATTTAAGTCCAGTTTGTTGGAGATTTATCAACAAAACCATAATACTTAAAAACTATGGATATTCAAAAGAAAAAAGGTAAGAATTAAGCACGATTTACACAAAATAACAGGCACACGCCACTACATAGAATACTGCTCAAAGTTTGATGTCGCATGTCAAACTGCAGTGTGAAATAATATGCAATGTTCCTCTCATGCACCATTAAAAAGAAGTTTCTAAGCATGCCTTGCATTAACCAAAACTACGGAGGAGATTGATACCAACCAAGTTCATAATAGAAGTCACCAATCCCCAACAGTTCTGCCCAGAAACCCTTGTTTGATGCTAGAGGATCTACTCCGACTTTAGCACACATCTCGTGGAACTGTGCCCTGAATGCAGGGTTCTTGCGAATGTCATTCTGCAAAATAAAACAAGGAGTAACCAAAACTTTCTTCTTTTATTTCAAATGTTTTGTAAAATAAGTAAAGGCATATATATAAATTTCAATTAGAAAAAGTACCAAAGAAGCAGAACGCACAACGAAACCTCTTTTACAAGACTCCAGTTAGAACAGAAAAAGGAAAATGTCCATCAAACTCAACCAGCCTGGTTGCTGCCCAAACATTATAAACAGCACATATACTCTCTCAATACCATTATCTTCTAGAAAAATACAAATGGTAGAGTTCAATTGTGATCCCTTTGCTAATATAACCACACATAAATCCCAAGTTGACCATAAAATAAGCTGAAAATGCATCTTTTCATGTCTTTTTCGGAATTAGCAACAGGTGGCCAAGTACAGATAATTAGAGTTAGACATATACATGTTTCCTCGCAACATATATGAGACTGACAATTTGGGAATTATATAGTTCTTTCTTTAGCTATATTTTCTTCCCAAATATTTACAAATTACAAGTACTTCTAATTACAAAATAGCTTATGATTCACAGTACTCTTCTTTCTGTAGTTTATCAATAAATTGGTTTTTTTAGGTATAATACATAAATATGCCCTTTAACTTGGCCTCAAATCACATTTATACCCTTCAACTTTAGGTGTGCACAAGTAGACACTTAAACTTGTATAAAGTTGATCAAATAGACACACATGTCCTACATGTCATTTTTTATCCTACGTGTATTGTGCCATGTAGGGCCCATGTGTCTACTTGTTCAACTTTATACAAGTTTAAGTGTCTACTTGTGCATACCCAACGTTGAAGGGCATAAATGTGAAATGAGGCCAAGTTAAAGGGCACATTTATGTATTATGCCATTTTTTATTTTAGGAAATTAAGGAATGGATGTCTCAATTTCGCAAAATCAGATGCTTTAATCATCATACTCCTACCAAATCGTTCAACTGAAGGCAAAGGTAGCACGGGAAGAGCTACAGTAACGGTAATAGCTTCACCCAACAAGCAACTTTAGTTCAAACTTTGTATTGGTCGTAAATTCATTGAATATGTGCATATTATTAACTTGGCAACTGATTGGCCATAGAATTAGTTGGAAAAAAAAAAACAAGTTTTTGAAGTTTGTTGCTTTGTGAGTGGAAGTCCCAAAAACCCAAAAATTGTTGGAACTTAAAAAAATTTGAAGATAAATTTTCAAAAACTTACTAAGTTTAATAGACAAACTATATTTTCAACTTTCTTTTCCTTTTGAAAATCTACAGCCAAACCGAAGCTAATCCAGAACTCATTAGCTTCAACACAGCGTGATAAAAAAATAATAAAATACCTTAAATTAATAACAAAAAAAATACTCAATCACTACAAAAATAAAACGAAATAATGAAAAAACCTTGTGTTTGCGAGCGAAATCTTCAAGCTGAGATCGAAAAGTAGCGAGCTGCTCTTTCATAAGATCTGTTCTCAATTTCGCAACATTTTCCCCTAACAATCGATATTGATCCTTCAATAAACATCGCAAAAACAAAAATTAGATTATTAAACAACAAAAAATACCGATTTTTTTTTAAAAAACTCAAAGTAAATAAACTTAGATCACAAACCCTAGCCGCCGCCGCGTTCTGCAGACCTCCGATTCCCGGTCTCCGCCTCATCCTTTACCTGATTATGTGAAGTATTTCGTCGTACTCTGTCCTCTTACCAGTTTAGCTTTTTCTTCGTTTGTGAAGAAAATGATAGGACAAACTTTTTTATTTTCAAACAAAAATTATTTAAAATTAATTATCACAACTTACTTTAAATTAAAATTAATTAGAAGTGAGTAATGTGACCATAAAAATTCTAAATTCTAAATTCAACTTCGAGGTGAATTCTGAATTTGAATCTATTTTTTGGTTTAGCTCTATCTGTATAACTTTAAATATATATTTTTGTATTTGTAAAAACTAAAAAGTATAATTAAACACAATTTCATCTTTAATTGCAGTATCAAAATTTTTAAATAAAATGAAAAATATTAAATTTCTATGATCAAATACCTTCTTAATAAAATACGTATATTGATTTGTCATAACTTGCATGTTATAATTTGAAAATAATAAAAAAACATTTTTTGTTTGTAGTTTTGAAATCGATGTATGCCTTGTGAGCAATCTTAAAAGAAGGTGTAAAAAATATACATCTTAAATTTGTAATGTGTTAGCTATAATAAATCAACAAGTCAACATAATTATTGTTATTGTTATTTGTAAGTTATTTATAACTTGAAATCATGATCAAGCCGATATAATTATTATTGTAATTGTTATTTGTAAGTTGTTTGTAATTTGAAATCATAACCATCACACTTATTTTAATTACACGAAGTTATGCAAGTTTGTGATGGTTTGCATACCATAATTTCGAAGTAATTTTCCTTTTTATTATTTATAGCTTTTGAATTATGACAATTGGGTGTGATTTATGATTTGTTTAATAGTATGAAATCAAGATACATTATCATATCTTGCGTGCTATATTTATCAATTTTGACCATGTATTTTATAAGCCTATACATACTTATATATGTATTTGTGTATTCAAATTACACATTAAACTTCTATTTTGAAAACACGAACTTACACATACAATTAACTACATGTACAATGTATTTGCGTGATTTTCAATTAAAATGATTTTATTATTATTATTATTATTATTATTATTATTATATACACGTGAATCATATATTTTGCTACTTGATACAATGAGTACAATATGCATTCATCTTTTTTGTAACATGCATTATGTATTCAATCAAATATAGGTGAAATATTTGTATCTTATAGCAATTGTATTCAGATAACTATACATGTATTGTGTATCAATTGTATTTGTATTATGTATCAATTGTATTGGTGATCAATAAATACAACATGTATTCATCCTCTCCCCGATCTTGCTTGCCTCTCCTCTCTCTCTCTCTCTCTCACCTCTCTCCTCCCTCTTTCGATCTCGCCCACATCTTTCCTCCAAATATGTAGCTAAATACAATAGTTTTTGATATAATTGTATTCATTTTGCAAATCAGTTGTATTCATGATACAAATTGATACAACGAATATAACATATATTCAACCTCTCTCTCCTCTTTCCTCTCTCTCCATACCTCGCTCGCCTCTATGCTCCCTCTCCTAGTCTCGTTCGCCTCTCTACTCCCCAAAACATCTCTAGTTAAGCCCAAACTATAGTCTTTTTAAGAGAAAATTACGTGTATAAGCAAACATATACTGACTAATTAGTTAACATAGCTATAGTTTGTCTTAATTACAATTCGCGACCTACTTTTAGCTATAATTACACGGCTCAACTTTTTATTTTTGTATAATATAATTTGTATAATTGTTTACACTTTTGATATTTGTAATTGTATAAATCCGTTACTTCGAGTTTATACAAAAACAACTGAATTATTCAAATGTACCCGCGAATTATACATCCTGTGAATTATACAAATCCGCGAATTGTACAAATGAAACAACTTAAAATGTAGCTACAACCTGTAAATATGCAAACTATAGCTATGAAATATAATTAAGTTTATTATAGTGGCTATTTGTGAAAGTTCCCCTTTTATTTTTAATTTCCCTATCAAATATAACAAAAAATCTATAATAGAATTGATGAAGCCCAAATAATAAAGTGGGCCTTGATCAAGATTTGGGCTTACTACCCCCATTATCTTTTTTTTTTCTATATAAATAAAACCCTCTACTCCATAATTGCCGCCGCCACTCTTCTCATTTCGCAAAATCTCCACTGTGCTTAAATGGTGATTTTTCAGTTCCCATATTTATATTCACACTTAGATCTTCCATGTTTTATAAAAACATTATCCGTGCATCGAATGTTTACACCAATTAAAGTAACATATATGTCATACATTTTTCACTTTGATGTGTTCATTCTTCAAGTTAATTGCTTGATTTGGTGTATACAGTTGATATTGATAAACATTTATCCTTCTATTTTGGAATGTGAAAAGTTGTTTTTTGAGTAGTTAATGATCAAAAACGCAACTTCAAGTTATTGTTTTTTTTTTGCTAATTCCACACTTCAACTATCAGTTATTTTCTTTTCGTATTTTAAGTATCTATGTAACTGATAATTGTAGTATGCAATTTGCGAAAAATGATTGTTCAGATGTGTTTTTGATCATTATCGTATTGGAGTTCATATTGTTATCGCTATGACGATTAAAAATATAAAAGTAGTGGACTGAATAATACATTGATGAGAGAATTTAATTCTGAGCGATGCTTATTTCATGTTCTTATTTATCTTTTGTTATATTTATTTTTTTCATTTTTCACACTACATCCCTGTGATGAGTTCTTTCTAAATTTAACGTTAAAAGTAGACTGATCTTTAAAGGAAGAAAAATAATCAATTCTGAGGGATGAATTATTTTCTTACATTAGTCCTTTTTTTTAGTTGGGAATTTTACAAATTCTAGTTGATAGACAAGTTAAGATTCTAATTATTTGCTGCTATTTGAAAATTACTGAACTTTTTTGTTCCAATGACTGTAGCCTATTTAAATAGTTCTTTTTTTTTGCTGTGATTTGTTATAAATTGTGTTGTATTTGGAATATTTGAATCTCTGTGATGAACTAGCTGAATAATTTAAAAGTAGTGGCCTGATGACCATTGATGAAAAGCTTTGTTCTGAGGGATTCTGCTGAATGTTGGTTGGGCGAAGGGGCGCTAAAGGAGGAACTAGTTTTTTGCTTTAATTTTACCACATATGTAGTGTTTATTTGCACGTAGAGTAGCACTCAGTAATATGTTTGACTAGTTTTTGCTTAAAGATGGTGCCTTTTTGTTGTTAGACATCATCCTTCTTGAGTACTATCATATTCGTAGTCAGTAATATGGTAATGTACCTCATCTAAAAATTATTATTTGTTGTTATATGTTATAATGTGTCTTGTGTTTTACTTGAGACGATGGTCGGACTGAAATAACCTCTTTACAAGGTAGGGGTAAGGCTTCGTACACATCACCCTGCTTAGACCTCACTGTGGTTTGTCGTGTTGTTGTTGAATCCCTCTGATGAATTAGCTGAATAATTTAAAAGTAGTGGCCTGATGACCATTGATGAAAAGCTTTGTTCTGAGGGATTCTTTGTTTATTTATTGACTTGATGTGGTAAAAGCTAGATTTTGCTTTTGATGTTATGTTTAAACATCTTCTTTTTTTTGCTTTAAATGGTGTCTTTGTCTTGTTAGGTGTTATTGTTCTCGAGTACTATTGTCTTCTTAGTCAGTAATATGCAACTTGCATATCCATAATATTAGCTATGGCAATTTAAGGTTGTGAACTGAAGCCAATTGATGATTTACATTGTGACAGGTGATTTTAAAAATTATTTATTGCTGTGATATGTTATAATGTGTCTGCTTTTTCAGAAGTTTCTTTGATACTTGTAATGAATCAACTGAATAATTTAAAAGTAGTGGCCTGATGACCATTGATGAAGATCATTTTTCCGAGGGATTTCTTGTTTACATTTAGTGTCAAGTAGTTTTTGCCTTAATTTTACCACAAATGTACTGTCAATTTGCATATACAATGGCACTCGGTATTACATATTTATGCCTAAAAATCTAAAAATGTGGTGTCTTTTTTCTTGTTAGTCATCAGTCATCACTATTCTGGAGTGCTAGTCAATAATATGGTTACTTACATCGTCTTAGAATATTGTTATACTGCGATATGTTATAACGTGTCTTGATTTTTCAGAAGTATTTAAATCCCGATGATGAAGTTAGCTGAATAATTTAAAAGTAGTGGCCTGATGACCATTGATGAAAAGCTTTACTCTGAGGGATTTCATGTTTCTTTGCTTTGTTTCTTCTTCTTCACAAAGGGACTTGATATGGTAAAACTAGTTTTTTGTTTTAGTAAACATATGTTGTGTCAATTCGCATGTACAATGGTACGCGATAGTGTTTTTAAGCCCTTTTTCTTTTGCCAATACATATTGTCTTTTTCTTGCTAGCCATCATCCTTCTACTACTATTGTTTTCTTAGTCAGTAATTTGGTAATATACTTCATCTTAAAGTATTTTCTTGTATTCATACATGGGTATAGCCAGGTGATGCCGGAAAATTATATGGTTAAAATTACTTTTTTTGTAGACATAGTAGATGTTGAACCTCATTCGGCTTCTTTGTGTGTTAACTTCTTCATATTTTGATCCCTTAAGTGAAAATCTTGGCCTTACCACTGTTTATACATACGATGCTTAATAAGATGCTTTCAACTATTGTGCAGATATAGTACATAGATATTGCCAAAGGTTCTTATTCAGATCCCTGTGTTAGATTGTGTGGAGCCAAAAACAAATATGGTGAACTTGTTTTTGCTTTAATTGTACCACATCTGTGGTGTCGATTTGCTTGTACAATGGCACTCAGTATTACACTTAATATATTTTCTTGTATATATATACCTAAGATACTTATGTAATGTTACTCAACTTTCAACTGTCAATTCTAAGTTGTACCATATTATAGTTTTATGAGGTGGATGTGATGAATAGATTTTGTCAAAGGTACTTGTTCAGATTCTTCCTTTGTTTGATATACTTGTCCCCTTGTTTGTTGTAAGATTGTGTGGAGTTCAAAAAAAGAGAACAAGATTGTACTTGACATTGTTTGTTGCTTTATTTCTAGTTGTCATCCACATCAAGGGTTCAAGTAACAACAATAATTTACTTGGTATAATCTCACAAGTGGTGTTTGAAGAGGATGGAATGTACGCAAGTGGCGTCTCCGATAAACTGTCTGTCAAAAGATAAGGGTCCAAGGAATATAATCCAAAATATATGAATGTTTAGAGAGGATAGAATGTACACAAGTGGCATCTCCGATCAAATGATAAGGGTCCAAGGAATATAGCCCAAAATATATGAATGTTTGGAGAGGATAGAATGTAGGGAAAATTTTCAAAACAACAATATTTTATCTTTTAGTGGGATTCCTTAGCAATAGTTTCATTATTTATTTAAAATATCATTATTTTACTTTGTTAATGGATTAGTTATGTATTTTTTTTATTTTGATTAAATTGAAAGAATACAAAAATTTAATAACAAAAAAGAGAAAATCATGGAACGAAAAAATTCAAAAAAGGTAAAAAAGGTTTTAAATTCAAATCAGTTACCTTTTGAAAAAATTATAAATCTCCTTCCTGTCGAGGCCTTTTTTTCTTTCTTCATAAGAAAATCAATTTTAAATTTTTTAAAATAATTTAGTTTTGTCTTCCGAATCATTCATCTTATAACTTTCAAAGATTCTTCAAGTTGAATACGACATATTTTTTTAAACAAAATTTTTCAAAATTGAGGACTATAAATTTGTCGCATTCAGTGAACAATCGAAAAACAATCAGGTATTTTTTTCGATTCTTTTTCTTGTTTGGATGAGATATTCCCATATGTCGAGTATAATTATTTTTTTTCCCGATTAAATCAGTTAAATCTTTGTATGTATAGGGATACAAGTATAACAATTATGGACAGCGTACAACTATGGAGTAAAAAACATCAACTAATTAGTGGTAGAATACATATTTTTGTTGACTTGTAGTGATTGCTGGATACAATTAAGTTGTATTCAAACTAAAATGTATTTATATTCCAGTTTGTTATATTATTATTATTTCACTGAAAATATTGTTTTCGAAAAACATAGAATAAGTTGTATTAAAAAAAATTGTATTTATACTACAATATCCAGTTTTGTTATTTTATTAGTATTTCACTTTAGAATTGTAGTTACTATTTTTTTAGCTCAGTTTGTGTTCCAAAAATAATTATGTATTTCAATATCATTTTGTATTTCAAACGCAAAATGAATACAAATAAGTTTGTATCCTTTCTTAATTTGTATTTATATGTAATGATTAGATTATATTGGGATACAATCAGTAACATTTTTGTAATAAATAAAAGAAAAATATATTTGGCAGTTATGTAATACATTTTTTATCACTCGGATACAATTTTTATTTTTCACTATGAAAGTAAAATATCAGTTTTAAGTTTTAAGTTTTAATTTGAATGGTAAAGTGAGCACATAAAATGCAAAAGTTGTTGGTATACAATTATGATGAAAACATAATAAAAAAAGAAAGTTTCAGTTTTGGAGAACATCGATTATATCGAAGTTCGAGTTGGGAATTCTTCTTCCAAAGTTGTTTGTCAACGAAATTTTAATAATTTGTATTTCATTTGGCATACTTATTAGAATGAATACAAACTAACAAAGAAATACAAATGTCATTATACAAACCCAAACATGAAAATCATAATGAATACAAATACACATATCATACATATTGGAATGAATACAATTTAGGAAAGGATATAAAATTCTGAAAAAAATACATTACGTTGTGAAAAAAATAAATGAATACAAATATCATTCTTCAAGAACTACAAATCGATTTGACATACAATTTAACATCCATATTGGAATGAATCTCGTATTGTACATAGCCTTTTCCTCAACTGCAATAGCCGATTCAATCCAATGCCACAAAGTTCTATTGAAAGCAACTGCAGTAAAAATAACTTGGGGGAAACTTGTGGCACCTTTAATGAGGCCAATGAAATTGATCCCAGATCCATTAGTGCCAATACCATGAAGAGATTCTGACCACCATTCATATGCTAGTAATCACGTCTTGGAGGAATTTCAGAAATATTAAAACGAAACTAGAAAAGAATCGAAAAAATTGTTTAAACGACTAAAAATCTGAAATACATAGATATTAGATGAATATGTAAACAAACTTGAATAAAAAAAAAACTGAAAATTCGTAATATGTACAATTCTAAATAAAACCATAGATGGTGATATTGAAAACAAATCAAAAGAAACCTAAATAACTAATCGATATTACCTTTACCAAATTCAAAATTTCTTGAATTAATCTCTAGATTTTGTTTACATACCGATTAATCCCTTGAATTAATCCACCGATTTTGTTGAAGAATCAAGCTTTGAATACCTTGTGTTTCAATGTGAGCAAAAAACTTGAAGAAAGAGAATCTTAGAACGTGAAAATTGGGGGAAAATAAAAACTTTAATTGAGAAACGTGAAAGGTGGGAAACGTCTAAGATGTGGAAAGATATTAATTGATAGTTTTGTATTTGTTTTTTATTTTTAATCTGTTATTGGTTAGAATTTAATCCAAATATGGACTCTTTTGATTAATAAAAGGAAATATAAATAATAAAATGTGAATACAAATTGTTTTTGAAAATATTGGCATTCTGTCATTTTAAATAAATATTTTAAAGTGTTGTTGTTTTGACTAAATATGCTAGGTATCATGACTATATAGCTAATTTTCCCTAGAATGTGTGCAAGGAATATAGCCCAAAATATATGAAGGGACAAATATGAGAAAATAGATAGAGAACTAGATATGTACAAAATTAGAAGATTGATTCTCATGTTGTGCATCCAAAGCTCTGATTTGAGTTTGTGTATTACAATATATATACTATTTATAAACAATTTGAGTGAACATTTTATATTGTCCTTTATTACTGATTTAGAGCGCATAAATATTAAAGACTTATTTTAGAATTTAAATCATAAATTTCAATGTCTTTTCTCCCTTTAAAATTCATGGTTAGTTAAATAATATCACATAAATTGAGACAATTCAATAAGTCACATGTTTTAGATTAATTTATGCTTAGTCAAATAATATCACATAAATTTAGACGATTCAGTTAAGTTGCTTAGTCAAATAATATCACATAAATTTAGAAGATTCAGTTAAGTTCATGAATTTTAGATCAATTTATGCTTAGTCAAATTATTTCACATAAATTGAAACAATCTAGTTAAATTTATAGATTTTAAGCATATATAAAAGAGACTCATAGTTTTTAAGTTCCATGACTTTTGAATTATACGACAACAACTTATTGGGTTCACACTCATTTTATTATCGGACAACTCATGATATTCATATCGATTTATTATACACCTCTATTTAGCATTGGGTAAACCTCATACAATAATTGTCTTAGCTCGGAACTTGTTATCCTCTTGCCTAGCGGACACAAGGTAAATGTGTGAATAAAAGCTACTGAATTCTATCGGATCCATAGCTAATGATATAGTTTGGCCCCTACTTGAGGTAGGGGTGGGGTGGGGATAGATATAGAGACAAACGTTCTTGCCTTATCCATCACATACAAAGCTCATGCAAATACCTGGTTCACAGAGCACCAAGTAATCTATCCCTACAGAATTTTCCAGTCCTCAAATACACACATCAATCTACTCACCTAACCAACCCCTCATCATATCTCTACCACCAATTCTACATTGCAAAATCATTTCCAAAAAAAAAAAAAACTTCTTTTCTTCTTTTTGTGAATTTCAAAGCATATAGTTCACTCGCGTTGATCAATCAGGAAAGGTTATCTATTGTATCATACGACTTCTTGTAATGGCGGATTATATAACTAATAGAAGGAATTCCAATACACAATTATTGCAAGAACTTGAAGCACTTAGCGAAACACTCTATCAACCACCATCACACACTACAACAACTCGAAGAACCGCCTCCCTTGTCTTGCCTAGAGATTCGATCCCTCCAATCGAGTCCCTAACAGGTGGTGCTAAAAATGACAACGATATTGATAGTATCGTTGTCAATCCTAAGCCGAGAGCCAGGCGGATGTCATTATCCCCCTGGCGTTCTCGGCCTAAACAGGACATCCAGAGCGAGGACAATATACAACAACAAAGCAATACCAGCACCAACACCAGCACCAGTAACACAAAGTTAGTTAAGAAATTGGATAGCAAAGGATCTGATTCGAACTCCGAGAAGAAAGGCTTGTGGAACTGGAAACCAATTCGAGCTCTTGCTCACATTGGTAAGCAAAAGTTGAGTTGTTTATTCTCAGTTGAAGTCGTGACCGTTCAAGGACTACCAGCGTCCATGAACGGTCTACGACTATCTGTTTGTGTAAGAAAAAAAGAAACTAAAGATGGAGCAGTACAAACTATGCCATCTAGAGTTTCACAAGGAGCTGCAGATTTTGAAGAAACACTTTTTATCAGGTGTCATGTTTATTATACACCCGGGACGGGTACTAGTAATGGAGGGGCTCGATATAAATTCGAGCCCCGTCCATTTTCCATATTTGTCTTTGCAGTTGATGCAGAGGAACTTGATTTTGGAAAAAACATGGTTGATTTGAGTGAAATGATTGAGGACTCAGTACAGAAGAGCTTTGAAGGAAATCGAATTCGCCAATGGGATACGAGTTATACTCTATCCGGGAAGGCGAAAGGAGGAGAGGTAGTTTTGAAATTGGGATTTCAGATTATGGAGAAGGATGGTGGAGTTGGGATTTATAGCCAAGCTGAAGGGGGAACGAAAAACGCGAAGAGCTACTCATCTTCATTTGCTAGAAAGCAATCGAAAACGTCTTTTAGCGTCCAGAGTCCAAGAATGTCTAGTTTAAGTTCAGCTAATTGGACTCCATCACAAGCAGGAACAACAGCAAATATTCAAGGGATTGATGAGCTGAATCTAGACGACGAGCCTGTAAAGGAGGAGCCAGAGTCGAAAGCAGAGGATCTTGATCTCCCTGATTTCGATATTGTGGATAAAGGAATTGAAATTCAAGATAAAGGAGTTGAAATGGAAGATAAAGATGAAGCAACAAAAGAAGTAGGAGAGGATGAGGAAGATGGAGACGAGCGATCAGAAGGAAATTCTGATAAAAGATCGGTATCATCTAGTCACGAGGTTGTTAAGGAAGTCGTGCACGATCAAATGCATTTGACAAGATTGTCAGCACTAGATTCCATTGCACAGCAAATCAAAGCACTTGAATCAATGTTTAAAGATGAAAACCAAGTTAAGATGGAGGAGGATGACTCTGAATCCCAAAGGCTGGACGCGAATGAGGAAACCGTGACAAGGGAATTCCTCCAAATGCTGGAAGATCCAGGTGTTAGTCAGCTGAAGACGGATAATCAAGAAACCCCCGCGTTAAAGCTGCAAGGAGGAGGAGGAAATGAAGATAACGAAAAGAGAGAATCGGGCATATTTATACCTGATCTTGCTAAGGGGTTAGGATGTGTTGTTCAAACAAGAAATGGTGGTTTTTTAGCAGCTATGAATCCTCTGAATACTGCTGTTTTGAGAAAAGACACTCCGAAACTTGCAATGCAGATATCAAAACCATTTGTCCTTCCATCTATTCCGTCATCTATGAATGGATTCGAGTTGTTCCAGAGGATGGCAGCTGTCGGACTAGAGGAATTTACGTCCAAGATCTTATCGATGATGCCAATGGAAGAGCTCGTGGGCAAGACAGCGGAGCAGATAGCGTTTGAAGGCATTGCTTCAGCAATTATTCAAGGGAGGAACAAAGAAGGAGGTGCCAGCTCAAGTGCTGCTGAAACAGTTGCAGTAGTGAAATCAATGGCAACAGCAATGAACACGAGCAGGAACGAGAGGATCTCTACGGGGATATGGAACATCAGTGACAAACCGTTGACAGTGGATGAGATTCTTGCCTTCACACTGCAGAAAATGGAGGCAATGACAGTCGAAGCATTGAAAATTCAGGCAGATATACCGGAAGAAGAGGCTCCTTTCGACGTTTCAGCTATCAAGAAAGATGATGATGGTCACCCGTTGGACTCTGCTGTCCCACTCGAAGACTGGACGAAAGATGACAAAAGTGATAGTATAATGATCTCAGTTGTGGTTCAACTGAGGGATCCGTTGAGGCAATTCGAGGCAGTTGGAGGACCTATGATAGCACTGGTTCAAGCAGTTCCTATTGATGAGGAAACTAACAACTTTGATGATGAGGAAGAGAAGTTTAAAATCGCGTGTCTGGCTATTGGAGGATTGAAAGTCAGGAGAGGAGGGAGGAAGAACACGTGGGACACAGAAAAGCAGAAATTGACAGCAATGCAGTGGCTAGTAGCTTATGGACTTGGTAAAATGGGGAAGAAAGCAAAGAAATCTTCACCACTAAAAGGCCAAGACTTGCTATGGAGCATATCATCGCGTGTAATGGCAGATATGTGGCTGAAATCGATAAGAAATCCGGATATCAAGTTCATCATGTAGACAGACAGACAGCAGCAAGGGTGGTGTAAATCGTTTTTTCGTCATTTTTTCACATTCCATAGAAATAAGCAACAGAAAAAGGGGGAAATTGTATAATGTTTGCATTTGTTTAGGGTGCTATGCACAGGGCATGTGCACAACATCATTGTTTGTATGTTTTTTTCATAGAATTTTGAAATGTTCTTCAAGATTGTAAATGAGACATTGTATCTTTCTACCAGTAATAGTGATGCTATCAGTTTGTAATTTGACGTTTTGTCGATAATTTTTTGGTACTTTGAATAGTCATTTAGTGATAAAGGATAGCAGGAAGAAGAACTCGGACTCTTCAAAAATGTTGAAGGGTGCATGTCAGATCCTCCATGATTAGTGCATTTTTGGTGGATCCAACACGAGTACGACATCATTTTTGGAGAGTCTGGAGACAGGCCAATCAACTAATAATTGGTATCCACAAGGCAGTATTGTCAGAATTTAACTAAAAATGAAAGTACGCCACATAAAACACGATAGAGGGAGTAGGTGCCGAATACCATATATATATATATTTCTTAATAGGGAAACACTGATAAAAAATTAGTCAGGCTAGTAGGTGCCGAATACCAGATATAGAAAAGTCATAAAAAATGTTTTTTTTTTCCAGATAAATATTTTTCTGACAAGTGTAATAATCTCCAATGAAAGAATAAAATGTATTTAGTACATTCCTTTCATACCAAACAAATTGTTGTGTCTAAAGGTCAAGGAAACAAAACAAACATTTTTGCCAACAGAAAAAAAAAACACAAAAAAAAAATTGATTCCCTGGAAGACCAGAAAACTGGTTCTTTCTGGGATCAAAGGGGTTTCATTTTTTTAAAAAAATCTTCATGTGGATTATCAATTCTGTTGATATATTCCTATTGATGTCCTATCTTGAAATTTTCATCGTTAAATTCGATAACAATAAGGACATATTTGGACAAATCCCGGAGAACATTAACCCCAGGAAGAGGAATATTGTGGTGTTGTGACAACGGACCATCAAACAAGAACTTGATGAGCGAAATCCGTTAACAAAAAAAAAAAAATCCACTCCTGATGATTTATGTGAATATTAGGAATGAAATTGGGTAGCAAGAATAAAATGAAGATGAATTGTTTTAGATGTTGTGTTGCAAAGGAGGAAAGCTTTCATAAAAAGACTTTGAAAAAGAGCAATCAAGAACACAAAAACAACAAATCTCAATCTTCCTTTGACAATCTTTCTTTAAAAACTGGTAATTTTATAGTTTCATCTATTTTTATTTCAAGTTAATTGTAATTGCATTGTGTTTTCTCTTAAATGCATTTCATTTTTGTGACATCAAACATAAATTGATGTTCAGACTCTCCAATAATGCATTCGCACATGTGTTGGATTCTCCAAAAATGCACTACTTTTGAAGAACCCAACATGTGTCAAGTGACATTTTTGAAGAATCTGAGCAACGTAGGAGTCAAAAAGACTTTGATGACTCAAGGTTCATATTGGGGTAGGGAGAGTGAGGGATAGAGGGAGTAGTCCTCGGCCTAATCATCCAATTCGCTCCAATAGATAGACAGTCAATCTCAAAACCGGATGATAATAAAGAGTTGTGATAGGTTTAATAACCAATGTAAAAATAGTCGAACCACAATATGAAATGTTTGTGCTGGAAGTTCATCGAAAAGCTAAGGTTTATGATAGTTTGACAGCCAACAGAAATATGAAATGCTTCGTTGAAAGATCATCGAATATCCTGAGTTTTCTCTAACTTTCACATGATAAACACCCTTGTAATTCATATTTTAGAAAATCAAGTTTGTAAACTTGGTGTGCAGATAGCAGCAGAAGGAAGTACATAGCAGAAGAAATAGCAAAACTTGGAAAAGGCAACATTTCTGCTGAAATCTTCTCATACCTGGAGTTGAAGATTGCCACTCAAAACTTCAACAACGATCGTTCGCTTGGTGAAGGTGGCTTTGGAAGAGTGTACAAGGGCCACATTGAAAGCAAGAATCTAGTACTTCCCTCTCATCTCTTCTTATCTTTGCCCCTCTATAACAACGTCGTTTGTCTAGATATTTTTTGAAACACATTACATGAAAATCGGTTCCAAAAGAAAACTTGGCCATTCTAGTGAATTGTTGTTATAGAGAAGCCTGATTGTACTACTTGTTTGAGACTGAGGCGTAGTTGTTGTTGACTAAAGGTTTAACTTCTTCTTGTTTTATTGTTCTGTTTTAGGATGTTGCTGTGAAGCAACTTGACAGGAATGGTTTCCAAGGAACTAGAGAGTTTCTTGTGGAGGTTCTCATATTGAGTCTTCTTCATCATCCTAATCTTGTCAATCTGGTTGGATATTGTTCAGATGGTGACCAGAGAATTTTAGTATATGAATACATGCCAAATGGTTCATTAGAAGATCACCTACTTGGTAATGTGTTAATATGTCTTTACAAATCTTGAAAATATGTGTACATTAAGTAGTTGACATCTATGTTGCTTGGACACTTGAGATTGGATCTTCCAAAAGTAGTGCATTTTTCGAGAATACGAGTAACATAGATTTACATTGTTAAATCATTGCCTCAAAGAACATGTTTGAGCATTGAGAATAACATATGGCTAAACTTTATATTGTCAGCGTATAGAAGTTGAAAACGTTTTGATTAATGACTGACTATAATCATCTTGTTTGACAGAAACTAGTCCGGATAGAAAACCACTTGATTGGGAAACAAGGATGAAAATTGCAGAAGGAGCAGCAAAAGGACTTGAATACTTGCATGAAAAAGCTAATCCTCCGGTGATTTACCGTGATTTTAAAGCATCTAACATACTTTTAGATGAGAACTTCAATCCAAAGCTCTCTGATTTTGGACTTGCCAAGCTAGGTCCAACTGGTGATAAGAGTCATGTGTCTACAAGGGTCATGGGAACCTATGGTTATTGTGCACCAGAGTATGCTTCCACAGGACAATTGACCGCGAAATCCGATGTTTATAGCTTTGGAGTTGTATTCTTGGAGATGATCACAGGAAGAAGAGTCATTGACACCTCAAAACCAAGTGAAGAACAGGATCTTGTTCTGTGGGTAAGTTACAAGAATTCAATGTCACTATGTAATGCTTAAGCACTGAGTTTCCACTTAAAAACTAAGTTGTAATGTTATGAACCATGCCAAACTTATATCCACTAAAAAGAGTAGATGGTGCACAGAACTCCCGCCGCATAATACATAGATAGACACCTTAACTTGGTTTAAGTTGGCCCTGTAAACACCCAACTTTATGGATAGTTTACCTGTATTTATCTTTTAGGTGACCTGATGGATGATTAAACTCTTATAAAAACTGCTTGACAGGCACAACCATTGTTCAGAAACAAGAAAAAGTTTCACTTAATGGTGGATCCATTGTTGGAAGGGAAGTATCCAAGGAAGGGACTATATCAAGCACTAGCAATTGCAGCAATGTGCCTGCAACATGAAGCCAGTGTTCGTCCGTTGATCAGTGATGTAGTTACAGCTTTGGCATTTCTAGCAGGGAACAAGAAAAAGGACGAAGACGAGGAGGAAGCTGCACTAGACACTCCAAAAACACCATTGCAAAGTAATACAGATAACATTGGAACTAGTGAAGCTAGTGTTGATACATAACAAAAGTAAAGCCTTCTAAGCATAATCAACACTTTTTTTCTTGTGAAGTTTCTTCAGATTTTGTACATTGTGGTAAAATATTTAGAAGGCTAATGTATATACAATGCATATAGATGACCAAAATCATGTAGCTTTTCAAGTTTATTCAAAGATATAGTACATGACTAATGTTTCTAACTGGACAACTTATCTATATATGAAAAATATAAGTCTTATATAACTTTCATGGACCACTTCACTATTGAGCTGCGAGAACAACTCGCGATTAACAGTACAAATAACAGCAAAATTGTGATTTGCAAGTGAAACAGGCTGCCCAAGTACACGAATTCGAAGAATAAAGCATTGCAATTTACATTAAATCTCGAAATATCAATCAAAGTAGAAATATTTCCGAACCAAACTAGTAAACTGGGAAAAGAGATGCTTCCAAGTAAATTGAGCAGGCCCCAGAGAAAATTCATGACACTAACTTCATGCAACGGGTGAATAACTGGGAAAAGAGTTGCTTTCCAAGTAAATTGAGCTTGCCCAGGAGAAAATTCACGAGACACTAACTTCATGTAACGGGTGAATTCGTAGAATGCAGCTACTTCTCCAGCTCTTGCAGATCAATATCCCAAGCAGATGCCAACTGCAACAACAGTTGCTCAGGTGTTGCACCTTCCCAGTCCTCAGGCAGGTCTACTGATGATGAAATTTCGTTCAAATTTAACAGCAGCTCTTTTTTCACTTCCATAGGAAGGTCCACTACCTCAGGTCCATTTTCTATGACAATTTCTAGCAACTGAAAATACAATTGGAAGAAAAAGGACACGATATAGTCAGTATAAAACTTAATTCCATCTATCAAACTTCAGCTTAAGTGGTTCGCCCTTCATAGATGAAACAAAGGAGTTCAACACAGATTACGAGGGGTGTGTGTGTGTGTGTGTGTGTGTGTGTGAGAGAGAGAGAGAGAGAGAGAGAGAGAGAGAGAGTTGTTTTGTTTTCGGGAAGAAACACATAATCGGGAAATTGTTTCTTCAAAAATAAAATAAAATGCAATCAAAAGGCTCTTCCAAGAGCAATTCTTCCAGCGCAAACAAAACAAATTCTTTCAATACCCTATCCAAACAAACATTTTTTTTGTTCAAAAAACAAACTAAAAGAAGAACTTGGTATCTAGCACTCCAACTTTGAGAGTACACATCTAGACACTTCAACTTGGTCTCAACTGGCAACTAAACTCTCCAACTCATCCCCATTGTGTCTCATGGACACCCAACGTTGACCACATAAATTTTGGAGGTGTCTAAATCATTTTGTACGTTGGAGTGTTCAATTGACATAGTGAAGACAAGTTGAGGTGTTTAGATGTGCATATTCAAAATTGAAGTGTTCAGTTGCCATTTGAGGCCAAGTTGAAGTATCTATCTATGTGCCCTTTCTCAATGGTTCCACAAGGTAGCAGCAGGTTCCAAACAAAATATAAATGTTAATGCATGCAGTTGATTTAGTATTCCACATATATCTCCATTACTGTTAGACAAGAACAAACAGCATGGATAATATCTACCCACAGATTTAGTTCCTTCGGTCATGACACAATAAATAGTCTCTTGGAAGAATTAGAAAGGCAGTGCAGCAATATATCCAAAATGTTTTTACCTCAGACCAACAAAAGGATACCAATCAATATAGGTTATTAGGCACAGTATATCATACTACATGTGTCTCAGAGGAGCTCTATGACGTCTACTCGCTTACCCTAAAAGAACAACTAAAACTACATGAAATTTTTTAGTAATCATCTGCGCAGAGTTCTACTTTCACAACTTACTCTGGGAGATACTATATTAACATAAAGTAAAAAAAGCTGCAACCAGGGCATTAAAGAAATTTGTACCTGTTGGACCCAAGATAAACAGATGTCTGTCAGGTTTGGCTCCAGAAGAAACTGGGCAACAGCATGCAAAGCCTCACTTGCCACCTCATTGGACAGTTGATCAATCACTGGACCTGATCTATCCATCAGCTTCACAAGCAAGAAATCATCTCCAGTAGATAAAACTTCAGAAAATGCTGAATCCATATCACCCACAGAAAATGCATCCATTGCATTGGTCCAGGAAGTCCAAACTGGATCACGCTCTTGCATATTATTGTCATCTGTTAGTGCTTCAGCCTCTAATTCTGGAATAGCTACTCTAGTACCTCGAGCAGTTCCATTGTCATCACCAGCCACACGGATTGCCTCCAAAGTTGCTTCATCCTTTGAAGCTTGCCAGATACTTCTAGCAGAAGGTCCCTCGCCAAACCTAACAGGTCCTGCTCCTTTGGCCCATCCCCTCCTTGTGCCAACCTGATCTATCTCGTTTTCTAGTTTAGATGGCCTAGCATCCATGGGACCACCACCAATACCTCTCCTAGATCCTGATTGCCCATACTTACCATATGAATGGAAGTCCCAAGCATCAGGATTATCAGATCTACGTGGTGGGCTCCTTCCCCTCATACCCGATGAATTACCATCAGATGGTACAAACCTCTCTCCAAATGGTATGCTCCCTTCACTACCTCTACCTAGCTTGGTACTAGAGTAATCATGGAAGCTATTATACTTCCCAAGGGGCCTATTAAGAGATTCATCAAATCTTGTCGTAAAAGCACCACCTCTTCGACCTGCTGAAAGAGATAAATCACGTGCCATGTCTTCAACGACTCTTTCGAGACCACGTACTCTGTTCTCGAGAGCCACCATGCTACCATGAGATCCACCCATGAAATCCTACAATTTGGGAGAATTGTTAGTAGAAAAATAGCTAGTGAAACCATTTTTTGATAAAACTAACTTATCAAGCAAACCTGCAACATATTCGTCAGATGAGACTGCTGTCTCTCCAGAAGTAACAATTGTCTTTGAATAGCAAGCCAGTTTCCTTTGTGAGCCATAAACCCCTCAGGCGGACCAGCATTTTTTGCAAAACCAGTACGGTAACTGGATTGTTCCCTCTGATTCAAATCTCCCTCATCAACAGTATCATGTTCTCTGCCACTTACCCCAGAAGTTTGACTCTCCGTGTTACTATACCTAGCATCAATCTGGCTTTTCCTCATTATTCTCCGTCCTGTTTCTGCTTTCTCTGACACAGACTCTACTTCAGTTGGTGTATTAGATGCATTAAGACATTGACGAGGGACAACCACTTCCACAGGCAAATCATTTGAACTCCTTTCTTCAAGTTTCTGAAAGAATTCTGGGTTCAATTTTCTGTCTGACAAAGCAGGACCTCTCTTCTTTAATAAGCCCACTGTTTTATCAGAAAAGTTGTTATCCTTAGTTTTGGAAAGAAACCATTTGAAAAAGTTTAAGAAGAATCATATACCAAAGTCTCATTCCACTCACCAGCATTTCGGAGGTCCTTCTCTGACGATCCGGCAGATTCAGAAGATTCGCCATCTGAAAGGATATTCCCATTAAAGCAGGAAAGAAATCCTTAGATCTAAAGTAGCATATAAAATTTCATGCTTTCCCGCTTACCAATACATGAAGTTTTCTGATCATCTGTGGCTCCATCTTCTTTCCCTGCAATTTTCTTCCAGTGCTGCAAAGCTTCCAACATACTATCTCTCACAGGTTTTATCTGGGAAACCCAAATACATTTTAGATTTGCACAAGCAAAAATTACCTCTAATCACAAACAAATAAGTGCATAACATATATCTGCTGAGTTGAATGTAGCCACAAAACTAGCATTTAGCATATTGTTGCAAACGTTTATATTTTTAAGATTCAAAGATGGTCCATGATATCCAAAACTGTAACAACTACAGGGGTATCAAATTGTTGAGCCATACTATGAAGATTTGGGAGAGAGTGGTGGAGATGAGGGTGAGAAGAGGGGTGTCCATCTCTAAGAATCAGTTTGGATTCATGCCGGGACGTTCGACTACCGAAGCCATTCATCTTATGCGTAGACTGGTAGAAAAATATAGAGAAAGGAACAGAGACCTACATATGGTGTTCATTGACCTTGAAAAGGCCTATGACAAAGTACCAAGGAATGTCCTCTGGAGGTGCTTGGAGTCTAAAGGTGTCCCGATGATTTATATTAGGGCGATAAAGGACATGTACGGTGGAGCCAAGACTCGGGTTAGAACAGTTGGAGGAGACTCAAAACATTTCCCAGTTGAGATGGGGCTGCACCAGGGATCAGTCCTTAGCCCTTTCCTATTTGCTTTGGTGATGGATGAGTTGACGCGGTCTATTCAGGAGAAGGTCCCATGGTGTATGTTATTTGCGGATGACATAGTACTGATTGATGAGACGCGGGACAGAGTTAATGCGCGGTTGGAGGTGTGGAGACAAACGTTGGAGTCCAAAGGGTTCAGGTTGAGTAGGACCAAAACAGAATATTTGGGGTGCAAATTCAGTGATGTGTTGGATGAGACAGATGTGGAAGTGAGACTTGCCGCACAGATCATTCCTAAGAAAGAAAGTTTTAAGTATCTTGGGTCTGTAATCCAAGGGAGTGGTGACATCGACGATGATGTCACACATCACATTGGGGTTGCTTGGATGAAATGGAGGCTTGCCTCTGGAGTTTGTGTGATAAGAAAATTCCACCTAAACTTAAAGGTAAGTTCTACAGAGTGGTAGTTAGACCGGCCTTGTTGTATGGAGCGGAGTGTTGGCCAGTCAAGAACGCACATGTTCAAAAAATGCATGTTGCGGAGATGAGGATGTTGAGATGGATGTGTGGGCACACTAGGAGCGACAAGATTAGGAATGAGGTTATCCGGGAGAAGGTGGGAGTGGCCTCTGTGGTGGACAAGCTGAAGGAAGCGAGACTGAGATGGTTTGGACATGTGAAAAGACGGAGCGCAGACGCCCCAATAAGGAGGTGCGAGGTGCTGGTGGTAGAGGGTACGCGGAGGGGTAGAGGTAGGCCTAAGAAGTATTGGGAAGAGGTGATTAGACAGGACTTGGCTCGGCTTCACATTACCAAGGACATGACTCTAGATAGGAAGGAGTGGAGGTCGCGTATTAAGGTTGAAGGTTAGTAGGGTTAGCGTGTTGTCTTCCCTTGCGAGGGTATGGATTGTTAGCGTTTGGAGTAGTCCTAGCCTTATGCTGTTTACTGCGTTTCACTCCTCACATTACTTTCTTGATGTTTGTCTCATTTGTTGATTATACACTATTTTCTGTATTGGTTGTTATGTTTTATATATTTCTCTCCTTTCACTTAGATTTGATGTACTTGAGCTGAGGGTCTCCCGGAAACAGCCTCTCTACCTCCACGAGGTAGTGGTAAGGTCTGCGTACACTCTACCCTCCCCAGACCCCACCTAGTGGGATTTCACTGGGTATGTTGTTGTTGTTGTTGTTGTTGTAAAGATGGTCTATGATAATCATATCAACAGAGGTGTTATTATTGCATTACATGGCATAAATAAGGTACAATCATTAGCACCTTCTACTTTGGCCTTCAGCACCAAACTTATACCAGATCTAAATCATTCCAACTCTCTTAATGGCAACATTGGCTAGACACGATCTCATTATTGTTGACCAAGCTTTTACCAAACTAGGGTTATAGTTAGTTAGTTACCCCTCAAACTAAGAAATTACCTTAACACTACATCACATAATTACTAGAGGAAGGTACCTTGTCAAACCGAGAAGCTTCAAGCACAGTTAAAGTGGAAGTAGCTCCCCCTGCTACCAAGTTGCTTGAATTCAATGCCAAGGTGCTTAATGTATCAGCTGCAGCCTTACGAGTTGCCCAATCTGTATTGCTGAGGCATTCATGAATGGTCTGCAGTAAAGGTTCCAAATTTTGCGGTGCTATAGCCCCTACCTGCAATAATATGTTATCTGAAGCCTTTAAATATTGCACAACCACTTTAAAGATGACACGTAAGTTCACATTATATGTGATGCCAAATATTATGATACAAGAAGAAAGAAAATTCAAAGATGTGCAGTATCTCAGAGTGTAGTTCATATACTTGTATGGTTTTGCCAATATTGCAGAGGTCAGTACATCTAATATAACAAGATGAGTCCTCAGTCAATATTATCATAAGCAAGCAAAAGTCATTACTGAAGAATAATTTACAAGTAGCCAAACATGTATGAATTATGAAAAATTAAAGAGCTAGAGATATGTCAGGTAAAACTAGACCTCATGCTTATAAGGAAAACGTATAACCATCCCACACTCTTAACGAAATGCCTTTTCTCCCGTTAATAAGTATGCTTAACCATGCTCAAACTATGGTATAATTTTACAATATGATTTGATTTATACCTTGTTCGTACCTCAAAAACTTTTTAAACTTACTGTTTCTACTTCTCTTAGATACGCAGAAGAGGCTCCCGCAGTTCACAGATATTGAGAGTTGACACCTTAACATTATCTTCACTTTATAAGGTAACTAAACAGCATCGCTCTTCACTTTGGAGACTCAAATATTCTAGAATGACCCTAGAGGTCATGTGCAAGAACTTTGGAATAGCCTAGAGTTCACAAGTAGAGAAGTCCATCTTGTGGTGGAATAAATAAAGCAGACTTTTGAACATAACTTGATCTGATTGATCCATGCATCAGTGGAACATTTCTTTTTTTTTTTGATTGATGTGTTTGAATTTATTACTTAAGAGTTTCACAAATATGGGCCCTCTCTTTATTTTTTTTATTTTTTTGATAAGGTAAAGTTGTATTCCTCAGCAATGAGGGCATGCTGGCAACCATCGAAAAATTGCAAGGCAAGTAATCATTACAGAGAGCCTAGGAAATCAACTAGCTGTTCTACTTCATCTATACCCTCTTCTTTACACCAAAAATATAGAGTATTAATGCAGTTTTCTTTTACTTTCTGCATTGGGTTAGTAATAATCTCAAAACATCTGTTATTTCTTTCCCTCCAAACTGACCACCATATGCAAGAAGGGACAAGGCTCCACCATTTTTCTGTTTTTTACCCCCACCTCGCCTGATCCTCTCTTAAATTTCACACCATCATATTAATTTAGGGGTATATATTTAGGGAACTACTGGACATTCTTCCTCTCAAATCCTTCTTTCCACTTCAAGAAATCTTATCCTAGAAAGTACAGCCCTTTCCAGAAGTACCACTTAACTAACTACGAAAACAAATGTTTCTCCCTCTGTTTTTGCCTTTTTAGACCTAATTTAGCCCTCTAGTTACTTTAGATCCATCTGTACTCGCACTTATGCGTGATCATCACCTACGTGTTCAAATTATGATTTGCACTTCAAAATTGAATGCACTCTTAAAGATACATGCTGCTTGGGAAAAACGACCAAATCCACTAATAATCATTTTTGTGAAACAGGGTCAGAGAGGTATAAATGCTTTGAGAACCAAGAAAGATGCAGAAATGCTATCTTAATTAAGCAGAATTCATACTGTATGTAACCTGTTATATGCATATAACAGGTTACTATGTATAACAACTGACTAGTGGCTGCTCCCTCAAAAAAAAGATGCATTTGACATCAAATGATGATTACAGAAAACAGTTCCAGAAGGACCAGAAGCATGAAATATTCAAGCAGAGACACATTTGCCATTGCAATCATCATTTCCTCATGGAGCACTACAAGCACACTACATAGTAAATGCATATAACCTTCAAGTCCTTCACAAGACTCCACTTTGACTTTCATTATTTCCTCCCAAAAAGCCTATACTAATCCCTCAATAATGTACAGAAGGTAAGGATTAGGTAATAGTATTTGATTCTCATTTTGTAGCTAAACATACTAAGCAAAATTAGAATATTTTAGTGTTCTACTCACTTTTGATTGTTGAAATAAACATTCAACAAATAGGTACTTCATCCATCCAAATTTATGCAGCACCATTTGACAAGCATGGAAAGAGAGAAACTGCAGATGTTTTGGACTATCAACTCCCATAAGCACCATTAAGACTAGGTGTTTAGTTAGTCTTTATAATTGACACCTTCTCTCCCCTGTAAAGAGTATGGATGATTTTTTGGATTTTGTTAGCTCCCTAACTCTAGCACAGTAGGGTTTAAGGGGGTTTATCTTTTTGGCTGCTTTACAGGTTTTTACACAGTTAGCTTCATGTTAGTATCATGTTTGAAGAAACTTTAGTTTTAACTTGTAACCATTGCATCTCCTTGATGCCTTTCTAATACAATTTAATTACTTCACCCAAAAAATAAAACATTTGAAACTTGTGGTCTAAAACAAGTCCTAGACATTAATGTGGCATCTCATTAAGGATAAAATGCAAATTTAAAAGTTATATTGGTCCTAAGCTTAGAAAGGTGACGCTCTTTTGGGACATACTAAAAATGAAAGTGTGCCCGTAAATTGGGACAGAGGGAGTACATCTTAAGGCAAGCGAGTTTTAGACTGTGTGACCCCCTTAGCCTAAATGTGTTAAATTGTTGGAGAAAAAGGACACTTCTATTTGTTTGTTTCAAGTAGGCAATACACGGCCTCACGTGCCGGCTGATGCTTCTGGACCAAACATGCGAAAAAATTTATTGATGGGCAGCATTGATATTGAGGTTATTGAATTACGCGAACTGTCTCATATAAAGTTTAAGCTATTAGATATGGGACATTTCTATTTACCTATTACCTATTACAAAAGTTCACTTGGCTTCAACTTAATATCAAGAGTATAACACTACATTTCAGAAATGAATTAAACATGTAGACTACTGTTAAGGTAAACATATAGCTGCATTAACGAACCTGTGATAAGCTTGAAACAACAGGCAATAAAGAAGCCTTTGCCACGAAATGTGGATTGTTAAGGTACTTGCAGATCCTTGGACATAGCTTTTGAAAAGACAATACAGGCGGGTCCGAAGCACATTCCACCACTTTAGCCATACACAAAGCAGCACCACTCTGAACCGTTTTGCTATTCTCATTCATTGCCTCAAACAATGGCTTCACAAACAAAGCAACTACAGACCCAATCCCCCCACTTTCAGCTTCTCCCTTCAAGTACAACAAAGACAACGAGCCAATCGCATCACGACACGCGTCCCTAACACCCGAATCCGAATCCTTCAGCCTTTTAACAATGTTGCCGATAATTTTCGTCAAATGGGTCGCCGCAGAATCGCCGTGCGAAGCACATACGGTGGGGATAAGCCGAAGGGTTTCTTTCTTAACGGCAGGTTTTGGGTCGTTGCTGGCATCGTAAAGGCAGTTAAGGAGCATTGAAACGCCGTCGTTTGAGAGAGTTTGGATGATTTTCTCGAGGTCTTCAACAGCGATCTGATGGGTATCTCTGTCTGAGAGCTTAGAGATAGATGTAAGGATTCTTTGCTTCAGCTCAATCATGGCAAAATGGGTTGAAAGTGATGAAGATGATGATGATGACCTTGAAGGGGGTGCTGATGATGATTGTGGTGTGGGTTTTGAGGGCTTTGAAGATTTGGATACTTGAGAAGCCATTTTTTCTGAATCTTGCAATGAAATTATGGGAATTTTTACAATGTGTGTTGATTTTAGAGGTCACTAAGGAAGCATAGTGGAAGAAGAAGAAGAAGAAGAAGACGAGAAGATTTTGGGTTACTGCAAATGGAAGCAACAAATTACAGAGCAGATGGAAAAAAATTTGAAAGAAAAAGGAGATCTGCTCTGATTGAACACTGGTGGGAGTGGGGGCGGGGGGTGTGGGGGTGGAACCAATATTTTTTCGGCTCATTTAAATGAATCGTCAAATCTCTCTATGATAACATAGTTTGTTTTGGTGAGTGGGAAAAGATCCTATTTAGGATGTGCGATAAAGAATTTGAAATTCGATGTGAACATTAGTTGAGGTGAACAACGATCGAACTCTATATAATGCCATATTTGTTTTGATATTTTTTTACTGCTATATATTGTTATTATTACTATAATGTTGACTTATTCTTCGGTTTTAATATTATCTTATGTGTTGTTCGTTTTATTATCGTATTATTGTTCTCTTTTTTATTATTGTCGACATGACTTGTTTGTTACTGTATTTGCTTTACATAGATATTTTTATATAATTATTTTTTACTTAAATCGAGGATTTATCAGAAATAACTTTCGAGTATAACACCAAGAATTACACTAGCGGTAGAATTACACTAATATGTTGTTGTTGTTATTGTATAACGGAATGTTATTAAGTAAAACGTATAATATAACATAAGATGAAAGATATTCAAACACACAATAAAGAGATGTTATTACAATGAAATGTTGTTATAGGAGAAGGTTGTTAATGTTATATAGAGGCTAATTGTAGTAAAAATATAAATGAACCAATTCTTAACCGCTTTGACATCCACCAGATTAACTAACGATATATTAAGACAAGTGGCAAATGATCATGACAATCTTAAACCTTTTTTCGATGAAAAATGGGTTTGGAAGATAAAACAAACATACTTACCTAAACAAGGTCTATGAATGACCCAAAAGAGGTTCATAGTTTAGATGGATGACCTCCGCAACTTTTTGAAAAGGTGTCCGCTTAAGATCAATCTAAGTAACAGAGCTTACGTCAGAACTCGTGATCATAAAATTATATGTTTTTCCCTTCAAATATGTTGACTTTTAATATTTGCCTTAAAGCAATCAAATTTATGTTTAGTGAGACATAAGTTCTCTAGACAATGAGGTCATGTTGGAGTATTCAACAACAATAACTTATTCAGTATAATCATACAAAATGAGATTTATAAAATATAAAATAAAAAGTTATGTATTTATTACGAGATACAAAAATTAAAGACCAATCAAAAGTATAAATGACCCGGTTCAAGTATTTGCGCTCTATGGCCTAATTAGGGGTGGCAAAATCAAACCCAACCCGCCCAATCCGATCCAACCCATTTAGATTTGGGTTGGTTATTGACTCGCCCATTTGTTAGCACAACCCATTAAAAATTGGGTTGATATGTAATCTAAATTGATTTTTGAGAAATCTTATTCATTTTTATTTTATTTTATTTTATAAGTTATACATAGTTATAATGAAGGAAAAAAAGTATTTGATACTAAAAGCTTATAAAATTACAAATAAAGCTATTAAAACTTAGTAAAAATTGGGCTGATTGAGTTATGATCCGTTACCTAATCCGTTTTGACCCAACCCATTTTAGCCCAAACAAATTTGAATTAGCTTAGATCTTGACTCGTTTATTATCTTGATCCATTTTGACATGTCTAAATTTAACCCAATCCGCACCATTGTCACCCCCAAGGCCTAAGTAACGACCTAGGCCATAGCTAGGGGTGTTCATGGTTTGGATAAAAACCGATCCAAACCGAAAAACCAAACCAAGCCGATTAAATGAACCGATTTAGTTTGGGTTTTGGTTTGGTTTGGTTTTAGATTGTTAAGAACCAATAGTATTTGGTTTGGTTATGGTTTTGTTCGAAAAAAATCGAAGAAATAACCGAACCGAACCAACAAGTTATATACATAAATTTTATTATTATACATACATAACATATTATATTCATAAACAATTTTAAAGATTTTATATATGTTTCATCAAAATTTATTTATAATTTACTTATAAAAGAAAAAATGTCCAAGGTGAGAACAATTTTCTTATTGGTTTCATGTATATGAGTGTCTATGAAAATTCATTGTGGGACTGAAAATGTCATTGTCTCTTCCTTCTATGCCAAAATAGTAAATTTTGAAGTTTTATCCAGTAAATTCAATGATCCAAAGTTCTGTAATGCCAGTCATTCTAACTATTTTTTCGTTTGAATGGATTGTTGTCACTTTTTTCACGTTTTGAATGAATTGTTTCTTTTATTTTTATGTATGGTTAATAACCGAATAACCGAACCAAATCAAACCAAAACCGAAAAATATATATTATATTTGGTTTGGTTTGGTTTTGATAATTTTAAAACCGATTAAGTTGGTTTGGTTTTGATTTTTACCAATAACCGATCCAAACCAACCCATGAACACCTCTAGCCACAGCCCATCTCAAAGCCCAAAATAAAGCACTTTGAGGCACCCGTTTATTGCCAGTGGCGTAGTTAGGAATTTAATGAAGGGTGTCCAAACTTTTAATAGTAATTTTTTTTTTAAAAAACGACAATTTAAATTACCAAAACAAATAATCAAGTTAAATATAGGAATATTTTTAATAGAATTACAAGTGTATAATTCAAAACTAACATAAAGAAAATAAACTACTATTGAAAACATAATTTAAATATATTATTACAATTATACTCGACGAGGTTTCATATCCTGAAACGTTTTTATAATAGACTCATTAGAAATAGTACGAAATACTTTCTTTTCTACACAAGGCACTATACAACCGTCTAAAAACTCATCATCCATTCGATTTTGCAAGTCATTTTTAGAGTATTTAAATCAATGCTTTGTTTTTGAGAAGAATGTGACAAAATCTCTAATTGATCTACTGTTGTTTCTTTATTTGGTTGACTTAGAGAAGTCAAACTTTTTTTTGGTACTCTATTATAATAATTTCTCATGTGTATTGAAACTTGAAACTAAAATATTAATTTAAGGAAATAATTCAATTTTAATTGAAAAAAATCCACAAGAAAAAGTATTAAATTCAAGGAAATCTTATTTTACAAGGAAAATGTATTAAAATTTAAGGAAATAATTTAATTTTAATTGGAAAAAAAATAGTTAGTAAAGGAGGGATTCAAGCGTGGGTCTTGGAGACCTTCATGATACTATTAACCACCAAGCTATTGAACTTTAGCATGTTTATTTACTTAATTGAATTCAAGAAGTCAAAATAATTACAGAAAAAGAAAACAACCCTGCGGGGAATCGAACCGGGACAAAAAGTAGGATTGCACAAGCTATTGCCAACTCCACTGCGCATCACTATGTTATTTCAGGGGGTCCAAATTCTATATATATCGATATAAAGTCAAAATTTTACGTATATATATAGTATAATTTTTCGATGAAGGGTGTTCAATTGGACACCCTGGAGCCTACGTGGCTAAATTTATAGTAATAAAATAAATTAAACTAAACCGCCTCATAATTAATTTCAAACATGCAGGACTGAAATTGGAATCGTTAGAAACTTAAAGACAATTAATTAAAAGGATTTTCCTTCCCTAGAGGATCTTATTTCGTGTCAGATGACAATAAAAAAATAAGATTTTTTTGTAAACATAAAATTAAAACAAAATAGTAAGTGACCTAAAAAATCAATCCTGCTGCAGACAATTAAACTGAACACAATATAAATAGAAGTGCTATTTGCACAAATATCCCTATTTTGTGATGATGTTTAATTTTTATCTTTCAAATTTGTAATTTTTAATTTTATCCTTCGATATTTTAAATAGACCACTGTCACCGAAATAACAAAACATTTTCACAAGACATAAATTTATATTTAGTATCTTTTTTTTTTAAAAAAATAATAATCAAAAGACCTCGATGGGCCATATCATAAAAGAAGGCCACCAAAGCGGCAAGTCCAACACATGCAAAAGGCCCAAACGAAACTGGGTCAGCCCAAAATAACAACCACCATAGTCGTGGCCGTGGGTGTATTTAAATGGAAAAATCACCCCATATATCTATTTAAGGTTTAATATTACAGCCTTTAGATGTACTTTTTTTATATTACTACTTATAACAGTTTAATTACAAATATTAACAGATTAGTTTTAATCTATAATTTAATTTATTTTATTTAATTAATTAGTTATTATTTTTATAATAACATTATAATTAATAAGTAAGAGAAATAACATTAATATTAGAGAATCAATTGTCATTATCTCTTCCACCATTTTAGGGATAACATTAATATTAGAGAATCAATTGTCATTATCTCTTCCACCATTTTAGGAATTTTTTTCCAGATTTCACACAACAACCCCCACCTTCCTCTTTTACCCACACGTAAATCCCACACCCCCACCTCCACGTTTCTCTTTTACAGAGAACCAACTTTTTCTCTCTCACCATCTTCAACGTTCGTCTTCTTCATTCAAAAAGAAAATCAGTAGAACTCCCACATTTATATGATTTAATGGTGGGATGAGATCTACACATGAAGAACGTTGAAATTCCTGCAAAGTGTGGTTCCTCTCAGTCGAAGGATCAAAAGGAGAAAAAAAACGAAGCAAAGATAATGGTGAGTCCGGCAAATCAAAAGGGAAAGAAGAGGAAGGGGAAAATTGTATAAACCCCTTTTGATTCGAATTCTGATTTTGTTAGTGAAATAAAAAAGAAAAAAAGCAACAAATGTAGAAATTGCTCAATCTTCAAAACCATCAACAAGAAGAACAACAAAAAAGAAGGAATCAGAAATTCGAATATCCAAAAAAGGCAAAAAAAGTCGTTAGGGTAAGTATTATATTTAATTTATTTTCACATTATTCAAATTAGTGATTTTTTTGCTAAAAATATCACATTATGCTTATTGTTGTTTCGAAACTTTTGTTTGGGTGAAACTTGTACGAAATGTGAATAATATTTATATGAATCTCACTTTAATATATGATTTTGGGATATTATATGAAATGTGATATAATATTGGTATGCAAATGGTATGAATTGTGTTTTGACATTGGTATGAAATTGGTTTGATATCAGTAGCCCAATGGTATGAGTTGCTAAATTGGTATGCAAATGGTATGAGTTGTTAAATTACTCTGTTTTGTATGAATTATGACTATTATTGATATGAAATTGAGATTTTTTCTAATAGGAAGGTTTCTTTTTCAATTTTTTCATTAATGTATTTAAATTTTTAACATTGGTATGAAAATGGTATAAAATGATTTTTCTTGCAATTTTTTTTCAGTGATTGTGATTTGTACACGTGTCTATTTGCTGAATACATCAGTAATGGAGTTTTTGATATGCGTTATGTTGATATCGATGCAAAGTACCATCATCAAAGGTATGCCACAATCATATGGCATTATGGAAAAACAAAGAATGATGATGGCGCGACTAGAGAGAGTGAAGTAACTGGCACTGTTGCTAATAAATTTGATGGACCCCGCATAGCAAAAGAACATGCTCTGAATACCAGCAATTATCCCACACCAAAACCACGGAGATCAAACTTGAGATAGTTGATTGCACCTTAGACTTTTTAGAATTACAAGCTTTTTTTTTTAACTTTTGGACGATATTTTTGTACGTGTTTGTTACAGCTTTAAGTATTTGATATATATAATATCCACTGTTTTATTTCAAAAAGATACCAATTACATATGAATTACAGATTGACTATTGTAATCGCAGGATACTAGTTATATACAGACTGCATTCCAAATGGATACACCATTCTAAAGATAAATTACACATTGACTATAATAATTCTCGGAATAACAATTATATACAAAATGCATACAAATTGGATTCAACATTTAGAGTTTATGATTTTACAATGTCTTATTAACTAGAAAGAAATCATACTAATAATTTAGAGTTCATGAACTAACTCTGATTATAATTGGCATCCAAAATGTACACTTTTGGCATCCAAATTCATATTCTAACACAAAAAATAAAAAAATAAAATAAAAATGAAGTTGGTATCCAACATGTATAAATACCTTGTATAAACGATTATGCCAATGTAAAATAGTGATGATTGTATTTTGTAACAACATCAATTACATTTTTGTTTTACATTTTTTTTCTTCATCCTGGACAATTTACAACCTAATTGTAAATTATATTGTCTTAACAAGCGTGGATTAAGTATTTTTAAAGATGTATGAAGTTGTATACAATTTGTATAAATACTGGAATAAACGAATCTTTCAATTTAAAACATAGATCATTAAATGTTGCACCAACATCAATTACATCTGGTTTTATTTTGTTTTTTTGAAAATGGATAAAATAAGACTTTTTAATTAATTTTAACAGATTAGAGTGAATTAAGGAAAACAAATATTCCTAATTAGTTTTAATCTCCTAAATTTATGCTAATTAAAAATTATCTTCAATCAATTCAAATTTAATTAATACATCTATTTCCATTTTTTCAGTTTTTTTCTTTATTATTTCTAATTCCGTTTTTTTTTTAAAATTTTCGTTTATCTTTTTTTTTTTTAATTTTTTTTTTCAATTAATAAAAACATTTCTTTTTTTTTTGTAAATTTGTTATTACTTGAAATTTTTAATGCTATAGCTTGAAAGTCTAAATCTACTGCTATAGTTTGAAAATAGTACTATAATATATGTCATATATGAAATTTACACTATTTAAATCTAGTTACTCAAGTAAATGAACGTTTTTAAGGATGTCAATAGTGTGAGAATGAAATTAATAATTCTTGCCAAGTTAGGGTGTTTTTCAATAACTTGTCAGAGATACAAGTTATGCCTTAAAAGACATAACAAATTATGCAACTTAATTTTTACAAAATTTATGTCAATAGAGGTAAAAGTTTAGATTTGAACCCATAAGTCATGTCTTTTACGATATAACTTAATTTCTTCACAAAACATATATTAATAGAGACAATACTTCAATTTCAGAACTCATGACTTATATAGTAAAAGATAATTTAATTCTTAGTAAATTTATGTATAACAAAATTAAGTCTTTTTAACACTACACAACATATACCGTATAATTTAATTTCTACAAAATTCATATTAAGGTAGATAAAAATTCTCTAAACTTATTCCATTGCCAAATAAAAATACACAAAAAATTAAAAAGAAGTCATGTTCAAGAACTAGGAAATGAATAAAATAATAAGAAAGAAAAAATCAAAGGGTAGCTTAACCTCCTGTCAGATGTGCCCTCTAAACTCTTCTTCTAATTTTAATTTAATATAAAATATTTAAAAAGTAAATTTTAAATTAAAAATATATAGAATGTATCAAAATAATTAGGAAAAAAAACTTAAATATGTCATTGAACTTTAAGAAAAATATTTAGATTTATCTTGTTATTCATTAAAAATTTGGCTCATATAAGTCATTTTCATTTGAGAGAAAGCTTATGACACATACGAGCCAAACTTTAACGAACAGAATAGATAAAAAAAAATTCAAAATTTGATAACATCTTTGAGCAATTTGTCAATAAAAATAAGATAAATAAATTAAAACGCGGTACAATGTTCAAACGTGATGTTCATAGGCCCCATCAGAACATAGAGATTGATGCATCATGTAAGATACCTTGAAATTGACACAAAAATTTGAAAATTTGAAGTCAATTAAGAACTTCCATAAAAACTTTATATTATAATCTTTTTTTTTTTTTTTTTGCTGATGATGGCATGGTCGGTTTTGCATCTTTCTTCAACTCTCTCTTCTTGTGGGATTTGTTTTTACAATCTTTCTATATGAACCATTTCTCACAACTCTTCTCATAGTTTGATGCGGAGTTAGAATTTTGAGTTTACGTATTTTGAATTCTAGAAAATGCAGCTTATTAGGTTTATACAGGATTTAAGCTAAAGTTACTGGATTCGGCCGAACCTGCAGGCAAGGTATAGCTCTGCCCCTAACTCAGTTTTAGATCTGTCTATTCATTTGACTTTGAAAAGTTTCAATTTTTATGTGTGTTTGTGTTTTTTTTTTCCAATTTTGGGTTTCTCTTATAATCTTGAATAATATTTAGGTCATAATCTTATTAAGAGCTTTGTTATCACTAATCTTTTTTATAGTTTCTTGTTGGGGTTCATGGGTTTTAGTGCATTGTGGTTACTAAGTTTAGATACAGAGTTAAGATTTGAGTTTATGTGTTCTGGATTCTAGTAAATGCGGTTTATTGGGTTCTTGATATATGATTTATGCGTATTAAGTGAAATTTTTAAAGGCAAATACGAGGTTTGAGCTAAAGCTACTTGATTCTGGTGAACCTATTTGTGGAGCTGTCTAACTCAGTTTAGATCTGTCTATTCATTTGACTATGAAAAGTTTCAATTTTTATGTGTTTTTTTTTTCCTATTTGGGGTATGGGACATTACTATGCTCATAATCTTATTAAGAACTTTGTTATCACTAATGTTATTCATAGTTTCTTGTTGGTTACTGAGTTATTCATTGAGATTTAAGTTTAGTGCATTGTGGTCACTAAGTTTAGATCTTGATTTTATAAAGTTTCATTTTTTCTTTGTTTTTCTTCCAACTTTGGGATCCTCTTATAATCTTGAATTTGATTTGGTATATGTGTCTTGGCATTATCTACAGTTGACAACCTACTGTCAAAGATTGTGGTCTAGTGGTAAGTATTACTACATCCTTAACTAGAGGTCTAGGTATCGAGTCGCTTTTGTAGGGATCGGTTTACTCTCAAAGTGAGACTTTCCGATGTGAATCCAGATTAGTCGGACCCCAAAAGCAAGTACCAAATACCGGTGGCAAACAAATGAAAGAAAGTTGATAGCCTTTTATACCTATTCAATTTGTTGTCCAATTGATCTACTACAATTTGCTCTAGTTAATATTTGCTAGAAATGTTTGAGAACACATGAGTATTTTTACTAAACTTCACACTTGTTGTCACAAAGTTGAGTTTCTTCCGGTTCGACTTACTGTACACTATATAGTTCATCTACTTTCTCTTTGTGATTCTGCATTTAGTTTGGTTATCGTGTTGGATCTTTTTCCGTTTGGGAAGCATATCATATATATGAACTGTAAATATAAGTAAAGATAATTTGATTTGCCTAGTAAAGGATCCATTTTGCCTCTCCCTTTCTGTTGTCATTTTGAGATGAATTCACTGACGTTTTAGTAGAACTTGCAGGGTATTATGTTTCCAGATCACTATTATGTTGAAGTTGTATCTTGTATCTGCCCTCCAATGACTATCTGTTAATAGTTATTACATTACATATGTTGCTTCGATTCTGCAAAAATACCACCAAGTGCGCGTTGGATTCTCCAAAACTAGTTCATTTTTGAAGGATCTGACATGGGTGCTGCAACATTTTTGGAGAGTTCAAGCAACATAGATTACTACTGCTCGCATTTTCATTGCAGATAATACAGCTCTCTGAGTGTGTTTTTGATCTAGATAGCGAAGTTTATGCCAACTGTGATTTCATTGCAATCTTGGTTTTGTAGCTCATTCCGTCATACAAACTGTATTTGTTCATGCTCTGATTGCTACGTCCTTGCAGGGTCTAACTAAAGATCAATCCGAGAAAATTTGAAAAATCATGGCTCAAACATTAGAAGCCACCAAGGTCGGTGGAGGTTCGATTAAAGTGGGAACTACAGGTAAAGTCAGTGCATTGATGTCAAGAGAATTACATTCCAAGAAACCGTCTTCTCAGGCACCAGCGTCATCTAGGAACAAATCTCCTACTGTTTGTGGTTTCATTGCTGGTAGCGCGACTAGTCCAAAGAGAATGAAGCCGAGAACACCAAGTGATGAAGCAAGCAGCAGCGGAACAACATCTAAGCATAATAATAAAAGCCCCGAATCATTAAGGAAGACGAAGCACAACAGCAGAAAAACACATCAAATTCCAATACTAGAATCAGAAAACATTTCAGTAGATGGAACTCCTATTAGCAAGAAACCTGACAGAAAGGGACCTTACATGGTGGAAATCGTCGACGTAAAATGCAGAAGTATGGACAGAACTTGGGCTACCCCTATAAAAAATAGCCTAAAGAAGCTCCGTTTCACAAAGCTATCTGACAGCTCGGTCTAACTGCTATGTTGCTCAGACTCTCCAAAAATGTAGTCAAATTCTCCAAAAATACATTACTTTTGAAGAATCCGACACCCACCCAGTGACATTTTTGAAGAGTCGGAGCAACATAGGATCTAAGTACATGACAAGCTTCAAACATCAGCCTTTAGATTCCTGTAAGTGAATCTTGAAATAGCAGCTGGTGGATTACATTCTGCAACTTCTACCATTGAACACATACTTGGCATTATCAGCTTACTGGTCCTCCTTTTCTTTTTGGGATTCGCAATCAACGATCCAAGCCTTGGTCTGCTAGTAGAAGCCACATCCAAAACTTGACGTGACTTGTGAGTTATGTTACTCAGACTCTTCAAAAATGTCGACTGGTGTTGCGTGTCGGATCCCCCAAAAGTAGTAGGCAACATTTTTGGAGAGTTCGAGCAATATACCTTGTGAGTATGGCTTTGCTGGTTTAGTTGTAGCTTATTGAAGTACTCCATTTCTCGTAACACGAGGGATCCAACGGTTCCTCTGCTGCCTATCTCAACAAGAGGATTATTTGCAGCAATCTTCTCAGCAACTGTAAAGCCTAAGCCATTAGCTTTATACTCAAATCTTTGCATTATATGAGGGAAAATTATGGTATGAAGTTGAAAAAAAGTGTTTGTTTGATATGTGAATTGGTTATTTTTTGGTTATAAAGTGAAAACTAAAGGCTTGAATAAGATAGGAAGGCCCCTATGATCACTTTATTCATGTGCTTGTAGTTAAAAAAAACTTTAAATTTGCTCAACTTCTAACTACTTGTGCATTCATTATATTTTGTTTTTCAACCTTGAATAGGATGGTGATGAGTTTGTCCTTTAACCTTTGGCATAATACATAAACGCACCATTTAACTTGACCTTAGCTGATATTTACGCCTTTCAACTTTAGTTGAGTAAACACTTCAATTTGTATAAAATTGAACAAATAGACACATGTGTCCTACGTGGCGTCGTACATGACAATTTCTATCCTACGTGTATTATGCCATGTAGAACGTATGTGTCTGCTCAATTTTATATAAGTTTAAGTGTCTGTTCGTGCATATTCAAAGTTGGATGACATAGATATTATCTAAAGTCAAGTTAACAGACATATTTATGTATTATGTCTTAGCCTTTTGTTTGACATGTTGTGTTTTTGTTGTTGATCCTAACATTCTATGCCCAATGATGGAGTTAGAATTTTCATTAAAGTTCTAGAAAGAAACCAATCTTACCTTTTGTTAGATAAGTTGTGTTTTTGCTGTTGAACCTAACATTCTATAACCAATAGCTAAATATTAAAAAGTAAACACACAAAGAAATAAAAAGAATTAGGACTGATTTTATACAGTGTAATTAATACAATTTGCCATAGGCATTAAACTGCCTATGGCTTTAGTCCTTTATTAGTGTACAACTTGATCTAATTATCAATTCTGGCAAATGAGCTGTGTTCTCTGGGCCACAATCATATATCTAAAAACAAAACAAAAAATCTGTAATTTTCATTACTTTTGAGTTGAATAATATATAAATATATATATAAAATTATATACATTTTCATATGTTGTGTATTATTTTTCATTTTACATTATTTCGTTTCATTTTCATTTCCCCCTTTTTCAATCAGTTGATTTTTTAAGCCCACAGTCTATCGGAAAGGCTATCTCTATCTCTATGAGGTGAGAGTAAGATTTGTCTACATTCTATCTTCTTCATACTCATTTGTAAAATTATGTTGAATATATTATTGTTATTGTATATTCAGCCTGAACTGATTAATTCTAGATTCTGAATTCCTCACAAGGGAGGTGAAAAGCAGATGGTCTCTTAAAGTTTAAACTTAGTATTCTCTCCGTCTCAATTTATCTGGCACGATTGAAGTTTTGAGAATCAACGAGATATTTTTTTTAAAACCAAATTTTCATTGTAAATGTCTTTTAAATATATTAAATTATTAATTATTATGATTTACAATATTTTTTTACATAGTTTTCAAATATATAAATTTTATTTTTAAAATTTTTTAAAACTTTTTTATATCAGAATTTACGATCAAAATTTAAAATTATGAAATTTCAATTTTGCCACCTACATTAGGACAAACTGATATTAATTAAGAGATTTAATCTTGATATTAATACTTGTAGTTTTATTGCGGTGGTCATGTGAAATATGAAATAATTCTTTAGAGAGGGGTCACGAGTAATTTAGAAGTATCCTTTATTGAGAGAAAAATAAAATATAGTTTTAAAAATATCTCTCTATCTATTTTCATCATTTGTTCATACCTACCTATGCATGTATTTTTATATTTTTCCGCAACTTTTTTTTCGATATATTTAAGTTATTTTAACAGAAAAAGTATTTATCGATACCTTTCCATTTACCAAATATACTAATTGTTGATTATTAGTTTCTACATTAATATAATTCTCATTAATAAGAAGAGCATAAAATAATTATCGAATATCATGATATTTATGACTTTAAGATTCACATGTAAAAAAAAGTGTTTTTTTAGCATTTAGTGTATATATTTATATTTGGACTCTAATAATATATATAAGTATTACATTGAAATACTCATATCAATTAATTGTTTTATAAGAGATATGCAAAGTCTAAAGTGGATAAGTAAAAATGCACGGAGAGAGTATTATTTTTTTTTTACTTAATTCTTATTCCAGTGGAGAAAATAAGAAATAAGAAATAAGTATTAGCAAAGTTTAAAGTGGATAAATAAAATGAGAACTTTACATAAATCTGACTAGTTTAAGAGCTAGTTACTTATAAGATATACTCCAGTTCGTAATATTACGTATCTTACCAGATTTTGATGTCTCCAGATACGTCTACATACATGTATCTGGGATACATAAAGTCAAAATTACGTGTATTTTGTTCTAGATACATTATATCCAAGTGGATTCGCATATATATATGAAATACATAACAAATCTCACTCGCCTCTCTCCCATCTCGTTCACCACTAATCTCCCATGTATATGGTATCCCAGATACATGCGAATCATTCCAAAATCATACAGACACATGTATCTAGTGTGTATCTTGTGTGATTCACATGTATTTAGGATACATACGAATCTCGTTCGCATCCCTCCCCAATCTCACCGGCCTCTCTCCCTATTTTTGTGTAACTTGTAGCAAAAATACATGTATCTAAGTGTACTTTTTTTCAATATATGATGTAATTTTATCTAGATACATTGTATACAAGTGGATTCACATGTATATGAGATACATAATAAATCTCGCTCGCCACTCTCCTATGTATCTGGTATCCCAAATACATACAAATACATGTATTTAGGGTGTATCTTGTGTGTTTCACATGTATCTGTATACATATGAATCTCGTTCACCTTCCTCCTCAATCTCGCTCATCTCTCTCCCTATTTTTGTGTATTTGATAACAAAAATACATGAATCTAAGTGTATTTTTTTCAATATATAATAGAAAACTCTTAATTAGTAGTAAGATACATAATATTTTGAAAGTATAGGTAATAATAACAGTATATATGAATTATGCTAGTGAAGTTAGAAGTGTGTCTAAATATGTGGTTTTTCCTAAATAAAAATGCACGGAGGAAAAAAAAAATAGTGGTTGGGAAGCTTGCTCTCTTTTCACATATATCAGAGCCAGGTTTCGATCCTGGGACCTGTGGGTTATGGGCCCACCACGCTTCCGCTGCGCCACTCTGATTTTGTTGTTAACATTTCACACTCCAATTTATTTTACTCATAAAAAAGCAAACATTTCTATCCAAAACAAGATAGTTGATAAGGTAGTTGATATTTGAGCTTCAAAAATCACTTTTTTAACACAACAATGGCTTCAATTCCATGTACTCTCCACTTAACTTTCTCTTCTTCAAGACCCAATTTTTCTTCATCATGTTCAGTAAAATTGAATTCTTGTTTTATCGGTGTTTCAAAATTGAAAAGTATAGGATGGTGTAGACCAAGTGGATTAGGGCCAAATTGTGGTTCAAGAACTACTTGTTGGTTTAATTTCAGACAGAATGCTGAAACTGCTGGAGTTTATGGTAGTCAATCTCGTGATGATTTTGATAGAGATGATGTTGAGCAGGTGGGGTTTCTTTAATTTTTCTCTAAATGCTAAATCTTGATGTGTTTTGAGTACTAAATTCTTAACATTTGAGTTGTTGCTGTTTTTTGGGATGCTTTCTGCATAGGACTGCCCTTTTTTTTTTTTAAGTTGAGAGTTAAAGATTTAAGCTTTATGTGTTCGACCTTAAAAAATTGTTTTTTTTTTTGGAATTATGAGGGGAACCTTAAACGTAACTGGTAAAGTTGTTGTCAGTGTGATCAGGAGGTCATGGTTTCAAGTCTCTTGCAGAAATGCAAGGTAAGGCTGCTTATATAGACTTGTAGCGCAGCCCTTCTCCGGAACCATGTATAGCAAGAGCTCTAGTACAACGGGCTGGCCCTTTATATAGATGATACTCTGTGTTGGAAATGCTGGGTGGTTGAACCCGTTGCAAACATGCTACGTCTGCCTCAGTTGTGTGGGACAATAGGAGCATAGTTGAGTTCACGATTTAAGCTTTATGTGTTCAGCAGAAGTTGTTGCAGTTTTTTCGGATGCTTTGTACACGGGGTTGCCCTTTTTTTAGTTGAGATTTCAAGATTTAAGCTTTATTTGTTCGACCTTAAAAAATTGGGTTTTTTGGAATTATGAGTGGAGTCTTAGCATAGCTGGTAAAGTTGTTGTCATGTGATCTTCATGGTTTCAAGTCTCTTGTAGAAATGCAAAGTAAGGCTACTTTGCTTATATAGACCCTTATGGTTCAGTCTTTCTCTTGACCCCATGTATAGCGGGAGGTTTAGTGCACTAGGCTGCCTTTTCATATAGATGATATATATGTATACTCTGTGTTGGAAATGTTGGGTAGTAGAACCCGTTGCAAACATGCTACATCTGCCTCTGTATGTAGGACAATAGGAGCATAGTCGAGTTCAAGATTTAAACTTAATGTGTTCGACAAGTAAAGTTTTAGCATTGAGATTGTTGCAGTTTTTTGTCTTTTGGAATTATGGATTCAGAATTTGAGATTTATTGAAAATTTTAGTAATTTTTGCATAGATGATGTAAGCTTAATGTGTTGGGGTGTGGCCCTTTCCCGTACCTTGCATGGAGGATGCTTTATGTTCGGGGGTGCCTTTTTTTTTTTACTTGAGTTCAAGATTTAAGCTTGATGTATTCGACCATAAAAAATTTGGCCTCTTGGAATGGTGGTACATTGTACATTAATTGATGATAATTGATATATATACTCTCTGTTGGGAATGCTGGGTAGTTGAACCCGTAGAAAACATACTAGGTCTGCCTCTGTTATGTAGGAGAGTAGGAGCATAGTCAAGTTCAAGATTTAAACTTGATGTGTTCGACCAGTAAAATTTTAGCATTGAGCTGTCTACAATCTACATCACACAGTTGGGGTGCGACCTTTCCCAAGACCTTGCGTGGAGGATGTTTTGTGCATCGGGTTGCCCTTTTTTGTACTTGGGTTCAAGATTTAAGCTTTATGTGTTCGACCTTAATAAGTTGGTCTTTTGGAATTTAAGTACATTCTACATAGATGATATATATATGTAGCAAACACGCTAGGTCTGCCTCGGTATGTAGGATAGTAGGAGCATAGTCGAGTTCAAGATTTAATATTTGTTGAAACTTTTTGTAATTTCTACAAAGATGTATATATACACTATGTCGTAACTGCTGGGGCATTTGAATCCGTAGCAAACATGCTAACATCAGACTCTGTATGTTGCAGAGATCTGTTACTCATTTTATAATCCTAACTGAATAGAATTATCTCATGATCAGTGTCTGTAATCTATAGTTTGGTTTTCGCGAACGGTACTATATATACTACAAAATCATAATATCTTGTGATAATTTGTGGTGGCAAGATACTTTAATGATGGGCCAAATACGTGGATAGCCCCTCAAACTTCGCACCAATTTTCAGTTAGACACCTTAACTTTCCTAGTGAGTAGTGACCAATTGAACACCTCTACTTGATAGAGCTGTGTGTGTCTTGTGAACCCCTGTGTATGACATTGAAAAACTATGTTGGGTAAAAACACGTTTTTGCTATGTCATACACAGGGTTTCAACAAAATCTTCTTCGTCGGAAAATTATATTGGTCAACGTTTATGTTGTGAATCCTCTTATGTAAATTCCTGGTTCCACAACTGTTGTAGAATAGTGTCAATGTTTCACCATCATTTTGTGAGGAGCGCTAATTTCATGAAGATAATATATTTATCGTGGAAATGACTCGAATTTCGAGAAATCTTAGTAGCTCAGTTGGTTGGCTGCCTAACCTTTCACCTTGTTGGTGAGGGTTTGATTCGACTTACTGAATTTCGTGTTACTTCTTGTAGTACTTCAACTACATGGGCATGCTTGCAGTTGAAGGAACATATGACAAGATGGAGGCTCTTTTAAGCCAAAACATACACCCGGTCGATATTTTACTGCTGATGGCTTCCACAGAAGGGGACTTGCCAAAAATCGAAGAGCTACTGAGAGCTGGAGCAGATTACACAGTCAAAGATGCAGACGGACGTACTGCCCTTGACAGGGCTGCTAACGATGAAGTTAAATACTTCATCGTTAACTATAAAGCCCAGAAGGCATAAGAGTATCAAGTTTTGTTATTAGCATTAGTGTAAGTTTCATCTTCTCGTTTTCGTCATATTTTTTAGATCAACGCCATTTTACCATATGTGAGCTCTGTTATGTATCTGTTTTGAGAGCTTGTATGTTACGGGCGGGCATTTTACCTGAGGTTTTTAATCTATCCTTGTGTGATTTATAACGTTCGTTCGAGTACTTATAAAAGTTGATTTGCTTGTAAAGTATTAGAATCTTGTTTCTTATGAAGATTATGTTGCTCGGACTTTTCAAAATTATTGTTGGATCTTTCAAAAATGCACTACTAATCTACCCTTGTGTGATTTATAACGTCCGTTCGAGTACTAGTAAAAGTTGGTTTGCTTGTAAAGTAGCATTAGAATCTTGTTTCCTATGAAGATTATGTTGCTCGGACTTTTCAAAATTATTGTTAGATCTTTCAAAAATGCACTACTAATCTACCCTTGTGTGATTTATAATGTTCGTTCGAGTACTTGTAAAAGTTGGTTTGCTTGTAAAGTAGTATTAGAATCTTGTTTCCTATGAAGATTATGTTGCTCGGACTTTTCAAAATTATTGTTGGATCTTTCAAAAATGCACTACTAATCTACCCTTGTGTGATTTATAACGTTCGTTCGAGTACTTGTAAAAGTTGGTTTGCTTGTAAAGTAGTATTAGAATCTTGTTTCCTATGAAGATTATGTTGCTCGGACTTTTCAAAATTATTGTTGAATCTTTCAAAAATGTACTATTTCTAGAGGATCTGACATGCACTTTGAAGAATTCGAGCAACAAAGGTTGAAGATGCAATAACTTGCATATATATCCTCGATTTCTAACAAAAGATACGTATATTTACCTTTAAATTCCAAAAAGGTCATGTGGTTTAATTTTTTTTGGGAAAATTAGCAATTAAGTCATAATACCTAACATAATTAGTCAAAACAACAACACTTCAAAATATTTATTTAAAATGTCAGAATGACAATATTTTTAGAAAATAATATGTATTCAGATTTTATTATTTAAAATTAATTATAAAAATGAAAACAGTCCTATATTGGATCAAATTCTAAACCAATAACCGTTTAAAAAGTAAAAAAAAAAAAAAACCAATACCCATTAACCTTCCTTCTTCATCTTTCACGTTTCTACCCCCACCTTTCACGTTTCAGATTCTCTTTCTTCAAGGTGCTCACAAATTGTTCATCAAAATATATATTTTAATTCAAGAAATTTTCTCGATTGTTAAACGAAATCTCTTTATTAATTCAAGAGATTTCTCGATTGGCAAGGTAGTTTCCATTATTTATTTGGATTTATTTTGATTTGCTGTTTAAAATCACCGATTATGGTGTATATTTCGGATTCTATATATTATGGATTTCCAGTCAAATTTTTCGATTTTTATGTGATTTTGTTTAGATATTCATCAAATATTTATGTATTTCAGATTTTTATTCTTTTAAACAATTTTTTTCAATTTTTTTTGTGATTTTCTTTTAATTTTTCAGATTTTGTAGAATATAGAAATTCATTTATATGTTTATTTTGTTTGATATTTAATACATTTATATTTTGATGATATCGAAATTTGCTTTTAGAGTTTTAGATTTTGGGGAAAGCATCTGATTGTCTACCATGACTGAATCAATCAAAAATTTATTGGTATTCATTTTTTCGTTTCAAATACAAAATCATACTGAAATACAACCTGATGTTTGAAATACAATCTTAGTAAGACATATTTTGTATTTTATTTGGCTAAAGCAATATAATTTTTATGAATACATAATATATAAAATTGCGACGAATACATCACAGGAAGGGGAATACAAAATTATTGGTATTCATTCTGCATTTGATATACAAAATGATATTGAAATACAACCTGATATTTGAAATAAAAACTGAGCCAGAAAATACTTTCTGCAAATTTAAAGTGAAATAATAATATAACAAAACTGGATATTGAAATATAAATACAATTTATTTTGAATACAACTTATTCTATGCATTATGTATTCATGCAACTGTATTTTTCAATATCATTTCGATTTACAACTAATTTGTATTTATATTTTGGTATATACTTCACAAATGCCTTTAATTTTGTACTTGAACTAGAATGCCAAAGAGTTGTATTCATCATAAATCAATACCAACAATTTTTGTATTTTAACTTAGTTATACATATCTTTAGGTATTCGAATACATTTCGGATGAACACATATTCAAAGAAGTTCAAACATTTAAATATCCAAAACAAAGAGCATTAGAAATTTTCCAACACTTCCACTCATATAAGATATAAAATACAACTACTGTTTTCAAAAAAAAAAAATTGGAATTCTTTAGAACAAAGGAAAAAAATGCTAGAAAGAAAAATGACAACATATGCTCTTTCAAAAACATAAGCGATGTTAAATTTCAAATATTTTTTACCTTTTTTGAAATTTTCTGTTCCATGATTTTCTCTATTCTGTTATTAATTATTTGTATTCTTTCAAATTAATCAAAATAAAATAAATACATAACTCAGCCCTTAACAAACTAAAATATTGACATTTTGAATAAATAGTGAAACTATTGCTAAGGAGTCCCATTAAAAGCTAAAATATTGTTGTTTTGAAAATTTCCCCCTTTTTTTTATCTCACCCAGATTTTAAACTCATCTAGACCATGATCGAAATAAAAGGAACCAATCCCTCTTCTACTGAATCATAAAATGGGTTTGGATTAGGTGGAATTGCGGCAGGATGGATAAGATTTCTTGATCCTTAATCAAAGGTTTGTGCTCGAATCTCGAGAATTGAATATTTTTTTTATAAAGAGCACTTCTCCTTTAATGTATATCGTATAAGAACAAAAACAGTTTTCTATTTATTTTTTTCTTGTCTTCTTACAAAGAAATGGTAACATCGTAACGTGACACAAATATTTTCTTATTGTATAGTATAAAATTTATGTGGAATTATGTGAATTGACCTAAGTACCCTAGCTATATCGAAACCGAAAAGGTGACAAGTAGGACTTTTTTGTCATTCGACATATATATACCATATATATCACCCCATTTCAAAACTTACAATTAAAAATGGAGAGATATTTACCACGCAAATTTTTTAGAAATAGCAAATATAATAGACATAATAAGGCTCTATAGCTATAGTTTCGATAATTGCGCTTCATAGCTATAGTTTTGTTTGCTATGGAGGCTGCAATTTGTATATTTCTGTCATTTTGTATATTTCGCTTGTCAATATACAAAATAGGGTAAGTATATACAATTTTTGTATTTATATATTTAGAAAATTTTCAGAACTCCGTTTGTATATTTCGCTTGCCAATATGCAAATAGGGTAATTTATTATGAATTTTTCATAAATCGTATACAAATAGCTAGGATAGTCATATACAAAATTCTGTATTTATACTATCAGAAACCAAATTATACAAATTTTGAATTTATACAAATCAGACGAATTATACAAATCAGGCGAATAGCAAGAATTGGAAAAACTGTAATAGCGAATTACAATCTTCTTAAACTATAGTTATAATACCTAATATAGACTAAATATTTGCTATTCGGCATAATTTTCTCATATAACTTATAGGTAATGCCCAAAGCAACCTCACTTCATTCATTAATGCTTTGTTTCTTTTGGAAAAACACATAAATAAATGTCATTACTTGTTATTTCCTCTTTTTCTCTATTCCTAGGTATTGATCTCTAGTATTTTAGTTGATAATCATAAATAACATAAATTTGTGACAACCAAATATATTTTGACATATTTAAAAGCTTACTTACTTTAGAAAAATAATGGCCATGTGTTTACATTTTTTATTGAATCACAAGTTTGAGCCTTAAAAATATATTTTTTAAAATTGGGTAGAAAACATTTTTTTTTCATTTATACGATGAAAATTTGAATTATAGAATCCAAACATGAATATCATGAAAGTAACAAGTTTTTTCTTTGTCTTCTTACTAAAAAAAAAATAGTAACATCATGACGCGAATATTTTTTTATGGTGTAATACAAATTTTAAGTAGAATAATGTGAATTTACGAAAATACCTGAATAACATCGAAATCGAGAAAGCAAGCTAGTAGAGCTTTTTCGTCATTGGACAATTGTACATGTCATTACTCCCCCTCCCGCCTCTTGATATAAATTTACTCTTATCACGTGTTTATACCAAACCTAATTTTTTTTGTCCTCCTGCTCTCCTTCTTCCTCCTCCTCCTCCTCGTGCTCCTCCGCCTCTTCCTCTTTTTGTATAAAGAGGAAGTGGTTTCGTATCGAAATTTCTCCAATCCCTTGACGGCACATACATGCACTTCTTTTTTTTATCCTTTCTCAAAAAAGATCCATGAAAAATTAATCACTAGAAAGATGACTCATTTCCTTTTTTTTTTTAGTTTAATTATCTGATATTCAGTATTCAATTGCACGATAATCCATCTTTAATTTGTCCATAACACCTATATAAGGAGGGGGGGTCTCTTCATATAATTCTTTTCCCAATTTCAGAACACACGCTTAGCTTGATAACGAACTCTGATTAAGAATGATGAATCATCAATTTTGGCGGATTAAAACAATTAAGGTCATCCCTAGAAAGTGGAAAATGGTTAAAAAAGCATCAATCTTTAAGAAAAAGATTAAATCGATTTGGAAAAAAATTAGAGTTTGTTCAAGTGAAAAATTTAAGAAGTACAAGAAGTTATCCACAAAAAATATTTCTCAAGAATTAGAAGTTGTTGATTCTGAGGCTGTAAACATATTTAGTGATGATGATTCAGATTTAGTTGCATTGAAGATTAGCATTTTGGGTGATTGTCAAATTGGGAAAACAAGTTTTGTGGTAAGTTTTATGATTTTTAATTAATTTCTTCTTTTATAATTATTTTTTTAGTTTAATCATTCGATATCTGAATTTCTCTATTCTCTGGATTTGAATTGGAGATGTGCTACTTATTGTTTTACTTTATCGGTCGATATTTGGTATCTTTTTGGCTGACTAATTCAGATTTGTGAAGCATCATTCTTATTTTAAAATATGTGTGTTTTATTATGTATTTATCGTTTTTATGATTCGAACTCAAGATCTTTATATAAGGGTTTTTATTTTTTGTTTCACCATTCATTATTTGTTACCTACTTGCCTG